GTTTTGCATTGCCCATCGAACACCGCCGACCTGGCACTAGCTAATTACTACCATATCCGATTTCTCCAGAATCGTCTTGCTAGTGAGAAAGTCCATGATCGGAAGGATGTCAAGAAATTTTTGGAACACTGTTTTGCCTCTAAGTCGCCAGAGTTCTACGCGAACGGCACCTTTTTTTGAATTTTTTTCCTTTTCAACGGCTTTTTTTGGGGATTTCGGATTTTTAAAAAAATTTTCGCAATAATATTAGGAAAATAGATAATTTTTAACACATTTTAATGCAATAAAAAATTTGACCGGAGTCCCCCTTTAAAGTTTCTGTCCTTCCTGGAAGTTGTTGATCTGAATCACTCCTTGTCAATCACTTCATCTGAATCACTGAAAATCACTGAAAAACTGGGATTAGTTTCGAAATGTTTATTTAGAAATATCTTTCTTGGAAACGGCTTAGGGTTTTTAAGAAAAAAAACTTCCCAATGCTCAAAATAGTAAGTATATAATAATGGCTGATAATGAAGTACTACTAGTTGTGGAAGCTGGCTTTGGTAAAAAAACACACTTTTTTACTGTTTTCCCCAAACACTTTTTTACTGTTTTCCGATACTTGGACGACATTATAAAATTGATAATACCATGTGACGAAGCATTCAAGCAAAACAATGCTGAGATAAATATTGATCCATATCCCAGAAAGTCTCCAGAACTGAATTAGGTTCTACCGTGACAAATAATGCTACATATTCTAAAAATCCAGCTGGTGCGCTAGCGATCACATAGAATATGGACATGACTAGAATCAAACGACAGGTACGGTGTCTGAAAAGTTTTCTTTTTAAAGAAAAAATGAAACATTCATAAATTCCACCTTTCTTCGTAATTCCTGCTGTCCAACGCTTTAGACTTTGTTGATTTTCGTATTACGAAAATAAGCATTATTGTGAGAACTGGATAGAAAACACTGACAAGGATCTGAAAAAAGTTGATTTCAGGTTATCGAAAAAAATTCAGGTTCACCCGAGAAACTCCATTAATCATCAGGTACCGTTTCAGAATCAGTATTTCGTTGCCCGCAAAATCACGAGTAACTGCTGGTTCAGAGTAGTTAGCCGGGTATCCAGTGCACCTGGAAGCAGAAAAGCGGAGGTTGTGTATGAAAACATTTTGTGACACGAGACACCTACGTTTCTTCTGGTTTCCAAGTATCCCATTGAGCCATACTGTATCCGCGATTAAAATATAAACTATGCGCAAAGCTCAAACAGACTAGAAACAATATCAGAAGGTAGCCATACAATGGTTCAGATATTTTTAACGTAGTTCCAGCCTTTTTCATGATAACTAATCTTATCAACGCCAAGAATGCTCCAAGCCAGAAAGATGCTCTTTCGAAAACGGTCTGAAGAAAGTCTCCAATAAGCAATGAATACATGTGCCAATAGTTATTCTGATTCATACAGGAGTTTGGAGAACCATAGAACCAGTATCCTTGAACTCTATCGTAAACATTTTGAGATAAAGTGATTGAATCACATATCGCAACTCCAATCATTATGGAATTGGTAGAAGATGTTCTCATAGAATTATGAAGTAGAATAAGAAGATGTGGGACGTTAATAACTAATCCAATTGTAGAAATCACAAATTGAACTAAGAATACGTTTTCAGCAATGTCGTTTATAAGATCGATTAGTTTTTCATTCAATGATTTGTTCATTTTTTGAGAATTCAGAAAAAAGGTTTTTGGAAGAAAAATGTTGTTCAATAGTAAGGTGAGAAATGATTAGAACATTCCGATATGAAATATGTGATTGGAAATTGTGGTTCGGCCAAAAAAAGTAATCAAATTGAGCGGAGTCAATTTGTGTTTGATCCTCGTCATGAGCATATTCTATGTCATTGCTAGCGTCCCAGCCGGAATTTCAGAATACTTTCAATTATTTGTGAAAATAAAAACTAATTCAATTCTGGAAACTCTCGTGGGATATGGATCAATATTTATCTCCGTGTTGTTTTGTTTAAATCCTTCGTTACATGGTATTATCAATTTCACAATGTCTTCCAAGTATCGGGAAACCGTGAGAAAATGTTTTGGGATGGAGAAACAACGCCAAGGAAGTATGGTGCTTGTATCGGTGAGAAATTGGTGTTTGGGAAATTTAAAATACCAATTTGCAGGTCTCGAAAATCAATCCCCAAACTTCGTAATGTTTCATCGTATGCCACTATCGTCATCATAAACCACTATAAAAGGAAGTATGGCGTTTGTCTCGGTGAGAAGTTGGAAGTTAGGATCATTTATAAAATGATGATTTTCAGGTCTCGAAAATCAATTACCTTAACACTCAGCAAAGTTTCATTATCAATCACTTTCAAATCTCCAGGAGATGTTCATTTTTCTGTTTCTTCTAATTTTTCTTCTGCAATTATGATAAACAATTGATTAATCTACAACTTTTTCATATCTTTGACAGCACCGACAAAGTGTAAATTCTGTTTTAACAAATTTTAGTAAAATCTAATTATTATTTGGTAATTCACAATGCTAAAAAACAAATGAGATCAACAATTTCCAGCATAAGCAGAAATCCAAAAAAAAAACAATTTTAAGCAGAAAAAGGAACCGAAAAAAGAAACAAAAGAAACAAGCCTTTTTTTCAAGCCAAAATATTCAACAACTTCAGGAAATGGCAAAGTTTCGACATTAGAATTGAACATTTTCCCAATCGAGACTTTTAGAGAACATAGAAAATAGCGAGAGCAAAAGCGATGAGAATTCCAACGGTGCTAGCTGGATTGACTTTTTGCATTCCGAATGACAAACGAACAAATAATATTTAACGGAAACACAAATTTCTTATTTTTATAATTTGAGAAATTTTTCAAAATCGGGTAAACTTTTTTTAGAAACTCCGCCCAATTTCATTAATTTGTGGCAGAAGTAAAATCCAATCATTAATTTCGTTTTGTTCTGTTCATTCCTCTCCAAACTTCTGAAAAACAACTCCTTTTTCAAAATTTTCCTGTGAAGTCTCAGAAATGAACAAGTCTTTGAATGAAAAACTAATCAATTTCATCAATGACATTGCTGAAAATGTATTCATAGTTCAATTCGTGATTTCTACAATTGGATTAGTTATGAACGTTCCACATCTTCTTATCTTACTTCATAATTCTATGAGAACATCTTCTACTAATTCTATAATGATTGGGATGGCAATATGTGATTTGATAGTTTTGTCTGAAAATGTTTACGAAAGAGTTCAAGGATACTGGTTCTTTGGTTCTCAGAATCCATGCATCAATGACTCTAAATTTTGGTACATGTATTCATTGCTTATTGGAGACTTTCTTCAGACCGTTTTCGAAAGAGCGTCTTACTGGCTTGGAGTTTCCTTAGCGTTTACCAGATTAGTTATCATGAAAATGTCTGGAACTACGTTGGAAATATCTAAACCCTTGTTTGGCTACCTTCTGATACTCGCACTTGTCGGCTTAAGCTCTGTGCTTAGTGCATATTATTATTGCGGATACAGTATTGCTCAATGGGGTACTTGGGAACCAGAAAAGAAGTAAGTGTCTGTTTTTAATTGGGCTCACGGTTGTCGGCGTCGAATACGTAGCTCAGTCGCTGAGGATTTTTTAATTCCAGGTGCACTGGATATCATGCTAATTATTCGGAACCAACATATTATCGTAATTTTGCGGACAACGAAAATGTGTCGAAAGTTGGCAGACGGTACCAAGTGATCGATGGTGTTTCTCGGGTAAACCTGAACTTTGTTGACAATCTGAAATTAACTTTTTAATCAGATTCTTGTCAGTATTTCTTATCCTATTCTGACAATATTGCTGATTTTCGAAATACGAAAATCCGCAAAGTTCGCTTCAAAAGCATTGAACAGTAAGAGTTCCGAAGAAAGGTGGAATTTATAGGAATTTGTATTTTCTCTTAAACAAAAAGCATTTTCAGATACCGTACCTGTCGTATGATTCTCGTTATGACCATATTCTACATAATCTCTAGCGCACCTTCTGGAGTTTCAGAATATGTTCAATTATTTGTAGATATACAATCAAATTCAATTCTGTAACTCCTCGTTGGATATGGATCAATATTTATCTCCGTGTTGTTTTGTTTGAATGCTTCGTCACATGGTATAATTAATTTTACAATGTCTTCCAAGTATCGGAAAACCGTGAGAGAGATCCTGGGAATAGAGAAACCACAAAGAGGAAGTAAGGCGTTTGTACTTGTGAGTAGTTGGATGGAAGTTGAGAATTTTCGAAATTGTTTATTTTCAGGTCTCCAACAATACTTCTCGCAACTAGCATTATTTCATCATCAACTCATGGGAATGATAATTGCGGCGCCGCTAAAACAAAGGGTATAATAAAGATTTTCACTTTTTCATCAAAATATGCTCTTTATCATTAATGAACTTTTTTACATTTTGTTATCAAGGTTTTTGTTTTGTTCACCGGAAACACGTTTTTCCAAAAAACTAGAAGTTATTTTTCGTTTTTAATTTTTAATTTGTTTATTGATCAGGTGTAATAAAACATTAGAGGGAAGGACATGAAAGACTCAGAAAAATGCCCCTCACGAGGCCGATCTGAGTAGGGGAGGGGAAACGGGGGAATTTAGATATTTGACACAGGAAAGATGTAACTGGTAGAAAAAGAAAAATAGGGAGCAAATATATCAATAACGGGTAATACTGGAAGAAATTAAGGATTCAAACTCGGAAGGTAGGAGAAATCGGGTAACTTGGGAAGTGATGGCGTTGCACAGGGGAACAATTGAAGAAAAATAGAGTCTAATTTTTCAAAACTCTTTTCATGAAGTCTAATTTCTCAAAACTCTTTTCCAGTGTAATTCGTTTTATTTGAAAATTATTTTGAAAAAGCCTGTGACATTACTGGATTTAATTGAGTTCGCAGGTGTAAGAAAAAGAAAAATGTAGGAATTTTTGAAGAGCAAACTCCCACATAGCCGTAATTGTAAATATACGATAGTGGCTTATGATGAAACATTACGAAGTTTGGGGATTGATTTTCGAGACCTGCAAATTGGCATTTTAAATTTCCCAAACACCAATTTCTCACCGATACGAGCACCATACTTCTTTGGCGTTGTTTCTCCATTCCCAACCACTTTTTTACCGTTTGCCGATACTTGAAAGACATTGTCAAGTTAATTATACCATGTGACGAAGCATTCAAACAAAACAACACGGAGATAAATATTGATCCATATCCAACGAGGAGTTCCAGAATTGAATTTAATTGTATATCCACAAATAATTGAACATATTCTGAAACTCCAGAAGGTGCGCTAGAGATTATGTAGAATATGGTCATAACGAGAATCATACGACAGGTACGGTATCTGAAAATGCTTTTTGTTTAAAAGAAAATACAAATTCCTATAAATTCCACCTTTCTTCGGAACTCTTACTGTTCAATGCTTTTGAAGCGAACTTTGCGGATTTTCGTATTTTGAAAATTAGCAATATTGTTAAAATTGGATAAAAAACACTGACAAGAATCTGATTGAAAAGATAATTTCAGATTGTCAACAAAGTTCAGGTTTACCCGAGAAACACCATCGATCACTTGGTACCGTCTGCCAACTTTCGACAGATTTTCGTTGTCCGCGAATAATTAGCATGATATCCAGTGCACCTGGAATGAAGAGTCGAGACTGGATATAAAAAATAACTGGCACTTACGACTCTTTTGGTGTCCAAGTACCCCATGGATCGATACTGTATCCGCAATAATACAATGCGCTATGCGCAAAACTCAAACCAACCAGTACCAATATAAGAAAGTAGCCGAACAGTGGTTTAGAGATGTTCAACGAAGTTCCAGCGGCTTTCAGGATTATTAATCTTATCAGCGCTAGTAATACCCCAGACAGAAAGATGCTCGTTCGAAAACTGTCCAAAGGACCTCTCCAATCAGTTTTGAGTACAAATACCAATAGTTTTTATTATTCAAACATGGATTCTGAGACCCATAGAACCAATAACTTTGAACTCTTTCGTACACATTTTCATACAAAACTATCAAATCACATATCGCAATTCCAATCATTATAGAATTAGTAGAAGATGTTCTCATAGAATTATGAAGTAGAATAAAGAGATGTGGGATGTTCATGACGGATCCAATTGTAGAAATTACAAATTGAACTAAGTATACATTCACAGCGACGTTGTGGATAAAATCGAGAACTGTTTCATCCAGCTTATTGTTCATTTTTCAGCATTCAGAGTGAAAAGTTTGAGAGAAAAATGTTGTTCAAAGGTAAGGTGAGAAGTCAGCAGAACGTTCGAAAATGAAGTTTGTGATTGGATTTTGTGGTTCTCTCAAAAAAAGTAATCACATTGAGTGGAGTTTGCTGCAAAAAGTTCAATTCGATGTTTAACGACTTTTAATTATGGGTTGGCTAAATAATAAATTTAAAATACTGAATTACCAATAAATGTTGATCGAAGAACTTGCGGGTTCATCAAGCGTTCGTATCGCATTGTTCTAGACAGTAGTATTTATCAGTGATAGGAGGAAACGCATTTTTAGGAAATACGAAAAACGGAAACGGAAGCGGAAAAAAAACGAGAAAAATTTTTACGGAAAACGGAAACGGAGACGGAATCGTTAATTTTTTCCGCAAAAACGGAAACGGAAGAAAATCTTCAAAAATCGGAAAACTAAAACGGAAACGGAAACGGAAATTTCAGTTTTTCGTCTATTTTCCAGGATTTTTTCCCATCAAACATGAAAATAAACACTTTTTAACGTTTGAAGATTATATTTGCCTCACTTCCATGTTTTTTTTCGAGCCAGTTTCAGTTCAATGTTTTCGTCAATTTTCACATTTTTTTCCGTTTCCGCTTGGCGATTTTTTCCGGAAAACGGAAAAGGAAACGGAAACGGAAAAAAATCTCTAACAAAAGGGCGGAGAACGAAAACGGAAACGGAAATTCCTCCCATCACTGGTATTTATCGTGATGAATGTTGCGACCAGAGGATTTCTAAAATTAGAAATGTACAATTTTTAACAACATCAATAATATATTTTCCATTCAGTTTCATCGCACCGTTTCTTTTTTGATTTAGAATATTTGTCCCCCTCACATCAGACACTCCAACACGTCTTTTGAACATTTGAGTCTTCCCTCGTTTCTTATCAACTCCACTGTGCTTTTTGTAGTGATTTATTTTTTGTCATCCCTGTACAAATAAAGTTTTTAAGGACAGATGATCTACACATGCCATTAAAATGTTTCAAAGTTTTTTGCAACTTTGTAATGTTTTTTTTTAATGTTAAAAATCGAAATTCAGATTCGTTGTATGCATAAAACAATTAAAATTAAAAAAAAAAACAAAATATTCAAAGTTTGACTTTTTGTCTTATCTCAATTTCATATTGTCATATCAGACTTCATGATATCAGAGTGTGGTTTCCATCCCAGGTTTATGCAGTTTTGTGCAGTTCAGAAATTCAATGTTACTCGTTGAAATTCTGACTCAGAGAATCCGCAAAAAGGTATCATTTGAACTTTTGAGCTGGTCTTTCCCCTCTTCCTGTTAATCGTTCTTTCTGTCGCCCACTTTTTTCATGTTTCTTATATAAATAATCTCTAGACGGCATAAATGGACAGTCTCCTATCATCTTGCGGTTTTCCAAACAAATTTTCCATTTTTCTGTGATTTAAAAGAAATGTTAGACCTTATTTCAGATCTAGAAGATGCTTCAAATTGCAACGCTACTGTTAGCATTCGCTGGGTCAGCTATGGCTGCTTGTCAGTGTTTCAAACTTTTGTAGTAATATTAATTTAGTCAAATTTATATAGTGTCCGCATGAATTTCAAAAGTCAGGAAACTAGCTTGATTCGAAATATATTTGTTTCAAAAATTGACATCATCGTTTTCAGTCTGTCCTACTCAACCAATCACAGCCATAACTCTGGGAGGAAACTTACCAAATGGAGTTGCTAACATCACTGCTGTTCCACAAGGAACCAATTGCACATTCATTGTACGTCAATAGAAGAAAAAAAATCATCCAGGACCACTAAATTTCAGTTTAACATTCCTAACAACTACAATATATTATTAAGACTCTCGGCTCAATCTGGTTCTGATAACGATAAAGTGACTATCTATGACAACAATAACTATCTTTTGAACACACTCAAATTGTCATCAACTCCTGTTTATGACATCCTTGCCTGACTGCCAGCAAGATCTGCAGCTGTTCGAGTCGAAGCAACAAGTGGAAAAATGAAATTCATGCTTAGCTACCAGTACCAATCGCGTGAGTATAAGAACGAAAAAGAACATTTGAATACTGTTAAGCTTTTAGTTGCTAACTATCAACGAATAAACAAAAAGACTGGAGAGTACTTCCCATTGGCTCAGTTAACTCCTAACACATATGTGACTATCACATCATCCTCCGTCAATGAGAAGGTTTGTAGAAGTAATCTTCAATTGATTCTAAACTCAAAAACGTTCTAGGTTATCGTTTCCCCAGCCTCCAGAGCAGGTTTTGACCCAGACGCATCTCTTACCGAAACGTACGTTTACGACGGAGATAATATCAACACGGCAAACGTGATGGGAAGACTTTCCGACTTTAAGGATATCCGAATTTCGACGGGACAAAGTGTGTCTATTGTTAACTTTGCTGGCAGGTCCTCCAGGTCTTACGCTCTCGGTAACGATGCATCCACACTTCATAAGTTCGGCAAGTACACTGTTCTCCTCACTACTGAAGGAACTTCTATTAATGGCAACATGACTGATTTCTCTGGAACTGCAAATGGAGCTGCTTATACATGGATTTGTACGGATTGCTCTACATTCTATTGGACAAAATTGAGATTCGATAGGTTTTCAACGGTTTCCAATAAAGCATTTGTCAGTTTTCAAGGACAGACTCCAACTCATAAACGAGAGAAGCTGATCAGATATGAGTATGTTTTATTGGATTTTTCATACTCGACTGTCGGACAAGCCTAGCACATTCTTCCGAGCCCATTCTTTTATATGTTAATTAAGATATCTAAACCAGTGAAGTTTGGCTAAGTATCGACACCCACAGCCGAGTAGTTCTCTACTTTCAAACTTTGAAAACTAAAAAAATACGATATGGTTTTTAGCTTAACGACAGTCACCGATTCATACTTCCCTCAAGTGATGCCATCTAATGTTCTGACCCTCAATGTGTATTCGACAAGAGTAGAATTCTACTTTAACAATATTATCAATGATTCTTCATGGAGAAAGCCTTACATTGGTCGTAAAGGATATATCTTTGCACCAAATCTTTGGACAAGTGCTGCCAATGACTTCAACTATGAATTTCGTGATGATTCGCAATTGTATAACTTCACGATGAACGTTATCAAGGCATCTTTCCCAGCAAGTAGCGATAAGATGACATTGAAAATTGGATCAGGAGCGGGAACTCCAGCAGTGAACAACACGTTAGTTAACTAATTCGTAATAGTCAATCACATCTAATCAATTCTTATAGATATCCCCGTGATCTGTCTTCCAGTCAAAAAGTAATATCAAATGGAAACTACATGCAAGTTGGACTTTCTGCATCAGTTGCGGCTGATGTTCGTTTGTCATTCGAAATGCAAAAAGTCAATCCAGCTAGCACCGTTGGAATTCTCATTGCTTTTGCCCTCGCTATTTTCTATGTTCTCTAAAAGTCTCGATTGGAAAAATGTTCAATTCCAATGTCGAAACTTTGCCATTTTCCTGAAGTTGTTGAATATTTTGGCTTGAAAAAAAGGCTTGTTTCTTTTGTTTCTTTTTTCGGTTCCTTTTTCTGCTTTAATTATTTTTTTGGTTTCTGCTTATGTTGGAAATTTGTGAATCACCGAAAACATCTTTTTTTTTTACATCATTATCTCGAGAATGTATGCGTCACTACTGAATCGTCACGTGAGAAAAAAAAGAACAATTAATGGAGATTCGAGAGTGGTTGATACCGAAATGATGCTAAATGTGGGAATTGCTTCTGGAGACCTGGAAATCAAAATGTTTCGAATTCTTAACTGCCAATTTCTTACCGATACAAACGTCATACTTGTTTTTTGTTGTTTCTCCATCCCCAAACACTTTCTCACGGTTTCCCGATACTTGGAAGACATTGTGAAATTGATAATACCATGTAACGAAGCATTTAAACAAAACAAGGCTGAGATAAATATTGATCCATATCCCACGAGAGTTTCCAGAATTGAATTAGGTTTTATTTTCACAAATAATTGAACGTATTCTGAAATTCCAGCTGGTGTGCTAGCGATTACGTAGAATATGGTCATGACCAGAATCATACGACAAGTACGGTGTCTGAAAATGTTTCTTTGAAAAATTTTCTAAAAATAAATTTCACCTATCTTCTGAGCTTCTCTTGCTCAATGCTTCCGAAGCAAACTTTGCGGACTTTTGTATTTCGAAAATTAGCAATATTGTTGAAATTGGATAAGAAACACTGACAAGAATCTAAAAAAATTTAATTTCCGACTGTCAACAAAGTTCAGGTTTGCCCGAGAAACTCCATTAATCATTTGGTATCGTCTGCTAATTTTGAACAGGTTTTCGTTGTCAGCAAAATTACGATAATATGTTGGTTCAGAGTAGTTAGCAGGGTATCCAGTGCACCTGCAATTAAAAAATCCTCAGCGACTGAGCTACGTATTCGACGCCGACAACTGTGAGCCCAATTAAAAACAGACACTTACTTCTTTTCTGGTTCCCAAGTACCCCATTGAGCAATACTGTATCCGCAATAATAATATGCACTAAGCACAGAGCTTAAGCCGACAAGTGCGAGTATCAGAAGGTAGCCAAACAAGGGTTTAGATATTTTCAACGTAGTTCCAGACATTTTCATGATAACTAATCTGGTAAACGCTAAGGAAACTCCAAGCCAGTAAGACGCTCTTTCGAAAACGGTCTGAAGAAAGTCTCCAATAAGCAATGAATACATGTACCAAAATTTAGAGTCATTGATGCATGGATTCTGAGAACCAAAGAACCAGTATCCTTGAACTCTTTCGTAAACATTTTCAGACAAAACTATCAAATCACATATCGCGATTCCAATCATTATAGAATTAGTAGAAGATGTTCTCATAGAATTATGAAGTAAGATAAGAAGATGTGGAACGTTCATAACTAATCCAATTGTAGAAATCACGAATTGAACTATGAATACATTTTCAGCAATGTCATTGATGAAATTGATTAGTTTTTCATTCAAAGACTTGTTCATTTCTGAGACTTCACAGGAAAATTTTGAAAAAGGAGTTGTTTTTCAGAAGTTTGGAGAGGAATGAACAGAACAAAACGAAATTAATGATTGGATTTTACTTCGGCCACAAATTAATGAAATTGGGCGGAGTTTCTAAAAAAAGTTTACCCGATTTTGAAAAATTTCTCAAATTATAAAAATAAGAAATTTGTGTTTCCGTTAAATATTATTCGTTCGTTTGTCATTCGAAATGCAAAAAGTCAATCCAGCTAGCACCGTTGGAATTCTCATTGCTTTTGCTCTCGCTATTTTCTATGTTCTCTAAAAGTCTCGATTGGAAAAATGTTCAATTCCAATGTCGAAACTTTGCCATTTTTCTAAAGTTGTTGAATACTTTGGCTTGAAAAAAAGGCTTGCTTATCTTGTTTCTTTTTTCGGTTCCTTTTTCTGCTTTAATTATTTTTTTGGTTTCTGCTTATGCTGGAAATTGTTGATCTCATTTGTTTTTTAGCATTGTGAATTACCAAATAATAATTAGATTTTACTAAAATTTGTTAAAACAGAATTTACACTTTGTCGGTGCTGTCAAAGATATGAAAAAGTTGTAGATTAATCAATTGTTTATCATAATTGCAGAAGAAAAATTAGAAGAAACAGAAAAATGAACATCTCCTGGAGATTTGAAAGTGATTGATAATGAAACTTTGCTGAGTGTTAAGGTAATTGATTTTCGAGACCTGAAAATCATCATTTTATAAATGATCCTAACTTCCAACTTCTCACCGAGACAAACGCCATACTTCCTTTTATAGTGGTTTATGATGACGATAGTGGCATACGATGAAACATTACGAAGTTTGGGGATTGATTTTCGAGACCTGCAAATTGGTATTTTAAATTTCCCAAACACCAATTTCTCACCGATACAAGCACCATACTTCCTTGGCGTTGTTTCTCCATCCCAAAACATTTTCTCACAGTTTTCCGATACTTGGAAGACATTGTCAAGTTAATTATACCATGTGACGAAGCATTCAAACAAAACAACGCTGAGATAAATATTGATCCATACCCCACAAGAGTTTCCAGAATTGAGAAAGGTTGAATTGTCACAAATAATACCACATATTCTGAAATTCCAGCTGGTGTGATAGCAATTACGTAGAATATGGTCATGACCAGAATCATACGACAAGTACGGTGTCTGAAAATGTATCTTTGAGAAATTTTTTAAAAATAAATTTCACCTATCTTCTGAGCTTCTCTTGTTCAATGCTTCCGAAGCAAACTTTGCGGACTTTTGTATTTCGAAAATTAGCAATATTGTTAAAATTGGATAAGAAACACTGACAAGAATCTAAAAAATGTTAATTTCCGATTGTCAACAAAGTTCAGGTTTGCCTGAGAAACTCCATTAATCATTTGGTATCGTCTGCTAATTTTGAACAGGTTTTCGTTGTCAGCAAAATTACGATAATATGTTGGTTCAGAGTAGTTAGCAGGGTATCCAGTGCACCTGCAATTAAAAAATCCTCAGCGACTGAGCTACGTATTCGACGCCGACAACCGTGAGCCCAATTAAAAACAGACACTTACTTCTTTTCTGGTTCCCAAGTACCCCATTGAGCAATACTGTATCCGCAATAATAATATGCACTAAGCACAGAGCTTAAGCCGACAAGTGCGAGTATCAGAAGGTAGCCAAACAAGGGTTTAGATATTTTCAACGTAGTTCCAGACATTTTCATGATAACTAATCTGGTAAACGCTAAGGAAACTCCAAGCCAGTAAGACGCTCTTTCGAAAACGGTCTGAAGAAAGTCTCCAATAAGCAATGAATACATGTACCAAAATTTAGAGTCATTGATGCATGGATTCTGAGAACCAAAGAACCAGTATCCTTGAACTCTTTCGTAAACATTTTCAGACAAAACTATCAAATCACATATCGCGATTCCAATCATTATAGAATTCGTAGAAGATGTTCTCATAGAATTATGAAGTAGGATAAGAAGATGTGGGATGGTCATAGCTAATCCAATTGTAGAAATCACGAATTGAACTATGAATACATTTTCAGCAATGTCATTGATGAAATTTATTAGTTTTTCATCCAGCTCATTGTTCATTTTCAAGAATTCAGAGTAAAAAGGTTTGGAGAAAAATGTTTTCTAAAAGTGTAGAGTGGAATTAGCAGAATGCTCAAAAATGAAGTTTATAATCGGATCTTGGTCTGGCCATAATAATAAAATTGAGCGGAGTGAGCTAACAAAATTTTAATTTGATTTTCAAAGGCTTTTTATAAAAAAGTCTCCAATAAACGTTATTCGAAGAACTTTCGGGTTCATTAAATCGGGTTCCCGATGTTTTGGCAAATAATTCGGAGAGTACAAAAATTTCGGGGTCATTAGGGTGCATAATCCTCAATTAGGGGGTGCAAAACACCTGAAAAATCCGAATTGTGGATTTGTACCGCCTATTGTTTTCGACGGGTGAAATGAAAAACATTGGAGAGAGGAAGCACAAAAAGGAAGGAAAAAACTTTAAAGGTGGGGGGACAGGAGATTTTTCGTAGTTTTTTTGTAGCTAGAGTATGCATTCTACCGTCATTCTACCGTTACCGTCCTATTTTCATCCCCTTCTCATTTCATTGCTCGTGCAAGACGCTGGTGTATTCTTCGTTTCTTGCTCCTCATCCCGTCTTCCTTATTCTTTTCTCAGAATTTCATATGTATATTGTCGAATCCGCTCATCTCTAATAGAAACCTAGATAATTAAACTTAAAGCTCAAGGCACAATCCTAATGTATTTGAGTTGTTTATAATCAAAGATTATTCCTTGTATGTTTTAAATTTAATTTGCAATTAGCAATACTTGACATTTAAATGAACGTTGCGAGCAAAATTTCACAATCTGAATTAGCAATTTTTGCTGATAAGAGTCGTTTAAAGGTGGGGGGACAGGAGATTTTTCGTAGTTTTTTTGTAGCTAGAGTATGCATTCTACCGTCACGGTGTACAACGCTTAATATCACTCTGCGTACAGCTGTCGTCCTAGCCTTTATGTATGCAATCGGGCGTGCGCGTTTTCTTTGCCCGCGTGGCTCAGTCGGTAGCGGCGCGCACCCTCAATCTTCGCCCTCACAAGTTCAACTCCTCGAGGGGCATCTTTGAACGGAATTTCGAGAACATTATTTTTTCATGTCCCCCCACCTTTAAGTCATACACCAGTCGGTTCACGCCCCCCCCCCCCCCGGACTATTCAAGAATTTCCAAATTCCCCAGCCCCCGAAATTTCTGAATACTAGAATTGCCAAATTCTGGTTTTCTGAATTTTTGAAATCAGGAATATTTGTATTTCGAATTTTTGAAGTTCCGTAATTCTGGATATCTGAATTTCCTAATCTTCTGGATTTCGGAATTTCCGACATTCTGAATTTTTCCATTATCAAACTTAAAAATTTAAAAAATTTAGAATTTCCACATTTCCCGAGTTTCAGAATTTCAGCATTTTTCGAAATCCAAAAATCCAATCCCGAATTTCCAAATTTTCTGAAAATTTTTGAGTTTCAAGGTTTTTGAACTTCTGCAACTTAGAATTGTGAAATTTTTATTAGTTCCTAAAGCACATAGAATTAATAGGATTCAACACGGAAATTGAGAGATTGCAATTTTCAATTCCCGATCAAAATCCTGACCAAAAGCCGAACTCCTAATCTTCTCACCAGAAGTTACATGCCGAGTTCGTAATACAGTATTTTTCTTATCTTTTCCTCATTTTCCCCCTTTCTTCTCTAAAGTCACGCCTACTCATGAAGCTGACTGTCCTATTTTCATCCCCTTCTCATTTCATTGCTCGTGCAAGACGCTGGTGTATTCTTCGTTTCTTGCTCCTCATCCCGTCTTCCTTATTCTTTTCTCAGAATTTCATATGTATATTGTCGAATCCGCTCATCTCTAATAGAAACCTGGATAATTAAACTAAAAGCTCAAGGCACAATCCTAATGTATTTGAGTTGTTTATAATCAACGATTATTCCTTGTATGTTTTAAATTTAATTTGCAATTAGCAATACTTGACATTTAAATGAACGTTGCGAGCAAAATTTCACAATCTGAATTAGCAATTTTTGCTGATAAGAGTCGTTTAAAGGTGGGGGGACAGGAGATTTTTCGTAGTTTTTTTGTAGCTAGAGTATGCATTCTACCGTCACGGTGTACAACGCTTAATATCACTCTGCGTACAGCTGTCGTCCTAGCCTTTATGTATGCAATCGGGCGTGCGCTTTCTCTTTGCCCGCGTGGCTCAGTCGGTAGCGGCGCCGCACCCTCAATCATCGCCTTCACAAGTTCAACTCCTCGAGAGGCATCTTTGAACGGAATTTCGAGAACATTATTTTTTTCATGTCCCCCCACCTTTAAAGATCTGTGTGAGGAGAAGAACGATGAAAGTTTTCTTGGAGAAAACATGAACCCGTAATTGTAAATACTTGATAGTGGTTGATAATGCAATATTGCTAAGTGTGGGAACTGACTTTGGCAACCTGAAAATCGATATATAAAGTTGTCCCAGTTTCCAACTTCTTACCGATACAAGCACCATACTTCCTTGCTGTTGTTGTTTATCCCACCGCAAAGTTGTAGAAATCACAAATTGGAATTTGTATACATTTTCAGCAATATCGTATATAAAGATCATCAATTTTTTATCCATCTCATTGTTCATTTCTAAAAATTCAGATGCAGAATTTCGGAAGGAATATGTTTTCCAAAAGTTAGGTGAGAAATAAGCAGAACGTTCAAAAAAGACAATTTTGTAAGTGGATTTTGGTTCAACCAAAGAAAGTAAAAAAAAACTCCCACATAGCCGTAATCGTAAATATACGATAGTGGCTTATGATGAAACATTACGAAGTTTGGGGATTGATTTTCGAGACCTGCAAATTGGCATTTTTAATTTCCCAAACACCAATTTCTCACCGATACGAGCACCATACTTCTTTGGCGTTGTTTCTCCATTCCCAACCACTTTTTGCCGATACTTGGAAGACATTGTCAAGTTAATTATACCATGTGACGAAGCATTCAAACAAAACAACACGGAGATAAATATTGATCCATATCCCACGAGGAGTTACAGAATTGAATTTGATTGTATATCCACAAATAATTGAACATATTCTGAAATCCCAGCTGGTGCGCTAGCGATGACGTAGAATATGGTCATGACTAGAATCATACGACAGGTAAGATGTCTGAAGATGTTTAAGAAGTGAAAATACAATTTCTATCAACTCCACCTTTCTTCGTTCTGAATCCGTGATAATAGTGTGCGCTATGTATAGAGCTCAAACCGACCAATAACAGTATCAGAAAATAGCCAAAAATAGGTTTAGAGATTTTTAATGTAGTTCCAGCCGCTTTCATGATAACTAATCTGGTAAACGCTAGGAACACTCCAAGCCAGAAAGACGTTTCTTCGAAAATGTCCCGAAGAAAATCTCCAATAAGTAGGGAGTACAGATACCAAAATTTAAAGTTATTGATGCATGGATACTGAGACCCATAGAACCAGTAACTTTGAACTCTTTCGTAGACATTTTCAGATAAAACTATCAAATCGCAGATCGAAATTCCAATCATTATAGAATTAGTAGAAGATGTTCTCATAGAATTATGAAGTAGAATAAAGAGATGTGGGATGTTCATAATTAATCCGATTGTAGAAATTATAAACTGAACCCAGAATACATTCTCAGCAATGCCGTCGATAAAAACGATCAGTTTTTCATTAAGCTCAGTGTTCATTTCTGAGAATTCAGTATTTAAATTCAGTGAGAAAGTTGTAATTTGAATTTAAATTTAATTATTTCAACGAAGGGAAGAAAACCACTAACACGGGAAAAGTATATGAATCTAGGAGATATAACAGAGCTTGTAATCCAAAAGTTAACTTATAACCCAGAAGTTTGGAGATGAACGAACAGGAACTCAGAAAAAAACAAAGGTGTTCACGAATCTTTGTTCGGCCGAAGAAATAATTTCATTTTTTGGCTGGTATTAGTAAGACAGGCCTAATTGAATTTATAAGGAAAAAACCTCGTTGCTTCAGTCTGGCGAGTCAATGTTTTATAGCAAACTGTTTTTTTTTCCAAAACTAGCTAAACGGGATGTTTTAATGATATACTGTCGAATTTCCGAAAAAATTGACAACCCGAGTTTGCAGACTCAGTACAACAATTAACGTGATTTGCACTGATTCATCAAACACGCAGGTGTCAGTTTTATTCCGACAATAACGCCGTTTAGAATTTCAACGCATTTAATTGAAAATCTGTTCCGGTTTAATATAGGAATTGGATTTGGCATGTTCTGGATATGAACTGTGTTTTTTTTTCAGGTAGACTTTCCCCTAATCAAAAATTTTGAATTCGAAGTAATGATACCACCTGCAAACTAGAAAATATTATTCAAAAACAGAAGAAAATACGACAAAGATCTAGATTCGATTCTGAAGTCTTTTTTGCTTCTGTTAGTCGGAAAATCGTTAAAGGTGGTGTTCGGAGAAATGCGGAAAACTGCGTAGAATCACATTAAAAAAATCGAAAATTAGCAATATTGCTAGAATTGGATAAAGCATACTGACAAGAATCTGAAAATATCAATTTAGGAATTTCAAAAAATTTTTAGATTCGCCCGAAAAACTCCATTAATCATTGTGTACCGAAAAGCGATTTGTAACAGTTTGCTTTTTTATTCAAAGAGTACTGGTACCAATAGTTATCCACATTCATACATGGATTTTGAGACCCATAAAACTAGCATTCTTGAACTCTTTCGTACACATATTTAGACAAAACTATCAAATCACACATCGCAATTCCAATCATTATAGAATTTTTAGAAGATGTTCTCATGGAACTGTGAAGTAGAATAAGAAGATGTGGGACGGTCAAAACTAATCCAATTGAAAAAATCACGAATTGAAATAAGACGATAAGATTTTCATTCGGCGACTAGTCCATTTCTAAAGAAATCAGAATTTAAGAAAAAGGATGTTACTCAAAGTTTGGTTCATAATGAACAGAGAACTGACTAAAAGACAAGGCTGTGCCACGGCCGGCCGCGGCCAGCCGCGGTCGGCTTTTACTACGGCCGAGCCGGCCGCGGCTTCCGAAAAACACTTGATGAAGCCGCGGACGGCCCAGGCTAGCCGTGCGGCTTTTCACGGCTTTTAAAAATAATTGTTTCATGAGAAACGTAGATTTTTTTGAAAAGTGGGACACAAAAAAAAACGAAATTCTTCAAAAACTAATAGATTTTCACTTCACGCGTTTTTATAAGGCTAGACGCGGCCGGCCTCGGCTAGCCGCGGCTTTTCACGGCTTTCACATAAAAGCCTGGGCCGGCCGCGGCCGCGGCTGGCCGCCAATTGGCACAGCCTTGCTAAAAGAAATGTGTTAATGTGCTGTTCGGCTTCTCGGTAATTGCACACATAATTTTTCTTGGTTTTCTGGTGATTTCCGTCGATTCTTGTGGTTTTTTAATGTTCCTGCTCAGTTAAAAACCGAGAACCCTCTAATTGAAGCTCTTTTCTGATACATGTCCACCCTGAGAAGGAGGTTGAAAAATAGAAGCCCATGGGCATCTATTAGAGGAAGTAAGGTAATAAGGTTTTAAATTTTTTTCATTGTATCGGTTTTTTAAAAAATATCTTTCTTATATATAAAACGATAGAGGCGTCTGTGTGCCCTAATGTCCGTCTGTAAATATTTGAAAAACTTGAAAAATAAGTATAGATTACGTGACCCTTTAGGTTTTTAACAATAAAGATAGGAAAAGCGAACGTTTCGGAAAAATTTTTCACAAAGTTGGAATTATAAACATTCGAAAACGTTTGGTTGTTGAAATATTTTTACACGTGGGAGCTGATTTTGGGGACCTGGAAATCAACACTTTTAAATGATCCCAGCTCCCAAATCCTCACTTTTACAAGCGTCATATTTCCCTGGTGTTGTTTCTCCAGACCTAAACACATTTTCACAGTGTGCCGATACTTGGAAGACATTGTAAAATTGATAATACCATGTGACGAAGCATTCAAGCAGACCAACGCGGAGATAAATATTGATCCATATCCCACGAGAGTTTCCAGAATTGAATTAGGTTTTATTTTCACAAATAATTGAACGTATTCTGAAATTCCAGCTGGTGCGCTAGCGATCACATAGAATATGGACATGACTAGAATCAAACGACAGGTACGGTGTCTGAAAAGTTTTCTTTTTAAAGAAAAAATGAAACATTCATAAATTCCACCTTTCTTCGTAATTCCTGCTGTTCAATGCTTTAGACTTTGTTGATTTTCGTATTACGAAAATAAGCATTATTGTGAGAACTGGATAGAAAACACTGACAAGGATCTGAAAAAAGTTGATTTCAGGTTATCGAAAAAAATTCAGGTTCACCCGAGAAACTCCATTAATCATCAGGTACCGTTTCAGAATCAGTATTTCGTTGCCCGCAAAATCACGAGTAACTGCTGGTTCAGAGTAGTTAGCCGGGTATCCAGTGCTCCTGGAAGCAGAAAAGCGGAGGTTGTGTATGAAAACATTTTGTGACACGAGACACCTACGTTTCTTCTGGTTTCCAAGTATCCCATTGAGCCATACTGTATCCGCGATAAAAATATAAACTATGCGCAAAGCTCAAACAGACTAGAAACAGTATCAGAAGATAGCCATACAATGGTTCAGATATTTTAAACGTAGTTCCAGCCTTTTTCATGATAACCAATCTTATCAACGCCAAGAATGCTCCAAGCCAGAAAGATGCTCTTTCGAAAACGGTCTGAAGAAAGTCTCCAATAAGCAATGAATACATGTACCAATAATTATACTTATTGATGCATGGATTCTGAGAACCAAAGAACCAGTATTTTTGAATTCTGTCGTAAACATTTTCAGACAAAACTATCAAATCACATATCGCAATTCCAATCATCATAGAATTAGTAGAAGAAGTTCTCATAGAATTATGAAGTAGGATAAGAAGATGTGGGATGTTCAGAACTAATCCAATTGTAGAAATGACGAATTGAAATAAAACGATCGGTTTTTCGCTTGGCGACTCGTCAATTTCTAAGAATTCGGAAATTGAAAAGGACGTCTCTCAACGTTTGGAGAATGATGAAACCTCCGTTCGTCTAAAAAAATATATTTTTGTTAACTAATAGTTAGACTTGAAAAAATTTTGGTTCAGTTCTTCGGGGACCTTTTCCTGCAAAGTCCGATAACTGTACCAAACAAACTGTTCGATTAACGCCAATTCTAGCTGGAAAGGTTTTAAGAATTTATGACTTTTAACTCTACGAATTTAAGTGAGTTAAATTAATCAAGTAAAAGTGCAAGAAAGGCAGATACGCAGAAAGATTTCCTCAGCAAAAAAAGTCATGCAGAAGAAAAGATTATCCAGAATATGCCTAATCAGGTTCTGAAAACTATCAGTTCCGTTGAGTTTTCCGATTAGTTTAGGCACGTTCTGAATATGAATTGTGTTTACTTTATTATTTTCAGGTGAGATTGTCCCTAATCAAAAACTGCCATTCGAATGAATATTACCACCTGAACTAGGAAATACGTATTAATCAAAAGAATAAAAAACAGAGATCCAGATTTAGAAATGTACCGATAACCTACCGGTAATTTACCGGTAAATTTACCGAAAACTACCGGTAATTTCTAGGAAAATTTTCCGTTTTTTTTTCAAAATTTGTAACCGCGACGATTTAGAACCGCGACGTTTTAAAACCGCAACATTTTAAAACCGTGACGTTTCAGAACCGCGACATTTTATAACTGCGACGTTTCAGAACCGCGACGTTTCAGAACCGCGACATTTTAGAACCGCGACGTTTCAGAACTACGACATTTTAGAACTACGACATTTTAGAACTGCAACGTTTCAGAACCGCGGCATTTAAGAACCGCGACGTTTCAGTACTAAGACATTTTAGAACTGACGATCTGGAGCACAACCTGTCGCGAATTCAAGTGATTGATTATCACTTATTCACGACTTTTCTCTTATTAATACATCCCATATCATTATCCTTGTTATCTATGTTTGAGTCAGCCGCATTCGTCTTCTTGCCTACACCACCCAAGACGCCATATTTGAATCACCGCCAATTTGAGGACTACTGTAACCTGCACATCTAACTCTCGCGCCCGGTTTGGGGATCAATTTCTTCTCCTAAATCATTCTTCTTGTTGTTTCCTTTTTCGTACTGTGTTGAGGCTTATTTTTTCCCTCACAAATTATTGTATTTGCTTGGCAAAGAAGGTTCTAATAAGGAACCAGAGTGTAGGCATAAGAAAAGGTGAATAAATTCGGTATGTCTCGTACAACGGTGTTTTTGTCGTCTTTATCTTTTCAGGTGTTATATCTCTATTTTGGGTCGTTTTAGAGGTTCCCTTCAAAACATGGTGCATCGAACCAAATAAAAAAATTAACAGAGAGAGAATAACACTTGACCAGAGAAGAAAGCGGCAGAGCACAGAAAAATACCGTTTTTTATTGATTGCAAGACCTGTTCGGCGCCGCACGGCGAGTAGAGCAGGCATATGAGTAAAAAGACCTTCTCAGCGCAACGATGCGCTAGATTAGGCAAAAAAGAGTCTAAATTTTCTAAAATTTTGGTCAAAAATCCATAAGAAAAGAAAATTCACCTGAAATTTGGGACGAGAGACTAAGGACGGCAAGAGGAGCCACAGAAATGAGAATACTTCTAAGAAAGTGACTAATAAAGCCCTCGGAGGCAATAAAGAAACAGATTACATAAAAAAGAGATTCGGACGTTGCTCAGATGATAAAAGGGTCATGAAAACCTGAAAAAAGGTGCTTGAAAAGGCAATAACGGTTTAAATCAGGTCGAAATGTCGCCGGAACAGGAGGCAGTGAAGCTAAGAAGTTTTCAGCGTGGCAAAAGGACATTCAAAAGAGATGATCATCGTCGGAAGACGTCACGAGCCAAAAGAAGGAAGAAAATTTGAAAAAATCTGAAAAAGAGAGGATTCAGTGCTTCCGCGGCGCAATTGTGGCTGAAACCCGTCGATGTGTGAATGATATGAAGGGGAAATCTGAAATAATGGACTCATATCGCTTCGAAAGCGAATTCTATGCGTCGAATTCAATGATCCCATCGATAAACGATCCAAGAATCGCCAAGAAAACGTTGAACAAATGCGACAACGACACTCCGTCATTACGCCGGCGCGCCGCTAGGCGGCCGGACCATCGGAAACTCCTGTGAAGGAACGAGAATCGTGCATGAAGAAAATGACGTCTCGCGTTGGCAGAGTCGGTCGAAAACAAAAAGGATGTAAAGAAAAGACAGATGTAAGTCTTTTTATGGAAAAATTATCTCGAAAAAAGCGAGTGAAAAGCTCAAAAAGGAGCACGGGTCATGCCCAAATTTTCAAAATTTGGGTAGGGATTCGAAAGTTTTCGATGAAGAGGCAAAAAAAGAGAACAAATAAGTAATTTGAAGATAATATATCTGTGATTGGTAGCCATGAACCGCATGATAGCAAAATTACATGCGCCGATGAACAGTTTTGCGAAACCAAATCCGAAAATGTGTCTAAAATCAATAATTGACGACTAAAACGCTAAAATTTCTGAAATTTCAGAGAAAACTGAAGCGATGAAGCAAAGCCACGACATCAATCTTCGAAAGGAAGACAATCAAATCGAAAGATTGAAGAAATTGGCCGAAAACGAAGGTCAAACATCGGCAGAAGAGTCAATTGATGTGACGCTTCGAGTCAATGGGCCCGCTTCGGAACTTGACAGGACCGCAAACGATTCAAAATCGGAAACAGAGAGGAGTAAAGAGAAGGCCGGCAGAGGAACTCGGATATGTGGAGACAAACGTGACACGGGTAGAAGAATCAGCTGAAAGCCACGAAAAACGTACAAAAATTAGTACAATATGACAAAAAACCGATGGTGAGTATTGATGATTCTACTGTAGAGTAAAAGATAAGAGAATGATTTGAGAAGAGAGGAGAACATCTGCTCAAAATTCTATTTGAATTCATTGAAACGGCGATGAAAAAATCAATAATTGCTTCAGGCAGAGCAAGTCACCAGGAGAAACACGCAGAAACGACACATGATCTACAGAGTCCGTCGAGCATTCTCAAGAGAGCTGGCAACGGATCTCACTATAAGTCGAATTGGAATAGCTACGGTGAGTAAACTAGCCACAGTAGACTTAATATATATCATCGCAATATTTACAGTAAGCCAAGGAACGATGGACTACTGTCGGCAGAGCTATCAGTAGACGAGCAAAACAAGGCTGGCAGAGCACAGATGATCACGAACAGGACGCCGTGGGCAGAGAACAGTGAACCACCAGAAGAAGTTCCTGAGATGCCAAGAATTGCCAATATTATGAAAGTCATAAATTTACTTGGTTACTAATAAAAAAAGTTCATCAAAAATGCTTTGTTTCCGAGTTGTCATTAAGATTGTAATCAAAATGAAAACAGATTAAATAAACATTGTTTTGATACAAGTACTCCAGTTGAAAAGACAAGGAGTTACGGTGCGGAAGAATTAAAGAAGGAAATAGTTGGAAACAGTAGCGATGAACCTGTAAATAAAATTGAGATGATAGTAAGGGAGTGTAAATCAAAGACATTGAACGGAGTAATGACAGTAAAGAGACAGGCCTAAAGGTAGGAACGGGAACGGTGAAACCGTAGTAATAGCTAGACAGCGGCATGAGCAGAAGGAAGAGGAGCCAAACAGTGGCCAGTACGTTCCAGAAGTAGCCGTTCGCTCTTATTCAGATTCATTTGCTGTTGTTAATCAATCAATTGATGATTGGATGGGAGAAGTTTAGAGGAGCAGTTAGGCTCAGTTAGCAACTAGGCATCACAATTTCGATGATAGTTGCAGGGTGGAAATGAACCGAGGTAACATGAGTTACTCATTCTTCGGGTAGTTACCACTAACTCAACCGCAAGGGTTGAAATTATACCTCTTCTGCGCAGAAGACAGGATCTATCTGCAACCCGGCTTACAGGGAGAGCAATGCCAGTGAGGCCTGACATACGAGCAGGCTAGCGTATCATTAAAGTGCCCTGTAACGGCCAGTCAATGAAGGGCTCGAGAATTCATTGACTATCATTCCCGCAATTGAATGATGGACCGAAGATGAGAGGTGGAGATCATAATGGCAACATAATGATCTCCGGGGACGCAGCCGAATTTGACAGTAGGGCGTCGCCACGCATAGTGGTACAAGTCGAAAATAAAAACAGGTGGATGTGAACAGAGATATAAACAGAGGAAGAAAAGTAGGGAAGTCATGAGCCCAACCATCGGTACAACAATAAATGAAAACAGTTATGCTGATCACATAACAAGGATTCCATTAATAAAGACTAGAACTGAATGGATACATTTCACCTTTGATATTATTTATGATTACGTCACCTTATCACATTCTCTGTGTCCGGACATACAGTTATTACAGTTTCTATTTCAGACTTGGAACACGTGTGCGAAAGCAATTGCAAAGATGACCGGTTGGTCTAATAAAGCTATCAAGGTACGAATTGGAAGGATCTCTAACATGGCTCTTGACGCCATGCGGGAGGCTCAGGACTTCTGCACCGGATGGAAGGCAGGAGTGCTGAAGGCAGAGGATTCCAAGACGGATTGCATCCAAAAACATTCGGATGTGATGGGATCAATCAATAGCTTGGAAGGTTTGGAGGAGTGGATTAAGGAGAGGATTGGTCTCACGGAGGCAGAGAACGAGGAGGAGGTTGAGGAAGAACAAGATGAGGTGAAGGAGAAGAGAGAACGTCTTCAATTGCTATTGGAGTACGTTGACACGAAGCATGTCAAGTCAACAATTTTGATGTTGCAAATTGTTCGGCAAGACATGGAGACCATCATCGACAGCCAAGACGATTGGCAGAACGGAGAACCAACATCTCCAGAAGAGTTCGAGTCCCGTTGGGAGACTATGGAGGAAAGAGAGAAGGAGTTGCGTATGGGCACTCCACTGTACGATGATAATGAATCCCTCGAGTTTGCTACCGGTGCATATCCGGTCACACCGAATTTCGGGGACGGTGGGACCACAGGATTATCTATCAACCGGATGGCAGAGCTAGAGGAGAGAATGACGTTCATGGAAGACATGATGAGATATCAAGAAGAAGGAGGCAGAGGCCCAAAGGACCCCAAGAAGGAAAAGGAGACAGACAAGGAGAAAGACGATAAGAAAGTTAAGAAAGGGAAAGAAGTAAAGATGGAAGGACTGAAAGGCAAAAAGGGGCTGAAGCCAAGGGCAGTGCAGGATTCAGATACGGATCTTTATTCTTCCAATGAAGAAGATGAAGATTTGGATGATCCAGAAATGGATACCACTGCTTCAGAATCTTCCGAAGATGAGAAGAGAGTTGAGAAAGAGTGGAAGAAGGATAAAAAAGGAAGAAGATTGACAGAAGAAAAGAAGATGAAAACCAGATTCTTGAAATTGAAGCCGATCGAGTTGAAGAAATTTGACGGCTCTGACATGTCAAAATATAAGGATTGGAAGACCATGTTCATGGAAGGATATGGCAAGGATCCTCGGATGTCGAAACTCAATAAACTGATTCAGTTGAAAGGATTGGTAACGGGGTTGGCAGAGGACTTACTGGAAGGAATTGAGCTGGAAAATGACAACTATGAGCTGGCATGGAGCGTTCTGGATGAAAACTTTGAGAAACCGGCGAGACCGCTTTTGGCATTAGAAAGGAAGTTTGACCAAATGAAGGTGGATCAGAAAAATTTCTACCAAATGAGAAATGATACTAGTAAACTGAACGCGGTCATTGCAACCATGAAAAATCGTGGAATGGTCGTTGATTCTCCAATGGTATATGACAGATACATCCGCAAGTTTCCCACAGAAGTGGCAGAGAGGTTGATTGTCAAGACCTTGCGCGGAAGCTTCAACGGAGAGTTCTCAAAGATCCAGAAATGGACCATGAAAATCCTGAATGCGAAGGTGGCTGTTGAGGAGAATAGGGAAGAGTTGACTGGACCGAAAGACTTTGATGTAGCTAAGGTACACCATATGGAGATGAGCGAGAAGAAAGGAAAACAAGGGACGAGAGAAATGCAGGGCAACAATCGCAAGAGTAAATGTATCTTTCGTTGCGAGGCCGCCCACACATCTTGGAGATGTCCGAAGTCAGGAGACGAGAAGTACACGTTTCTTATGCAAGAGAAACGATGTACCGTGTGTTTTTCCGACAAACACCTCGCTAGATCATGCAGTCATGCACCGAAATACAACTGCAGAAAATGCAACAAACCTCACAACACCAGCATCCATGACGCTATCCAGAAGGCAAACGAGAACAGAAGACAGAATATGCAAGGAGGAGGGAGACGTGAATACATCCCACCAGGAAACCATGGGTTTCGTCCCCAAGGAAACCATGGGTTTCGTCCCCAAGATGGAAGAGGACTGGCAGCGACCACCAGAGGTGGCGCGCCGAGCGGAACTCAATAGAGTTCTGCTCACATCCATCACCGCTCCGAAAGGAGCACAAGAGCCAGCAACGGGTGTTGGTAGTAAAAGAAAAGAAGAAAAAGAGCAAGTGAATGCCAAAGATTTCTACGATAAATCAAAATTTCACACCAAAACTGAAAATGATAAAACAGGACAAGACAAGAGTACTGATAATATACCAGAGAACGCAGAATCGTTAGTATACAGTATCACAAATGATAACATTGGTGAAATGGCTTACATGTTATTGAAAACCGATAAAGGAGACATTACAGCACTAATAGACACAGGAGCAAATTGTTGTCTGATTTCCGAACAACTAGCACAGTCAAGAAAGCTAACAAAAGTTAAAACAGTCAAGATGAGATTGCGAGGAATCGGAAGCGTTGAGGAATACGACGCTAACGTCTATGCAATAACTGTCAACGGACACACAATTACCGCCAGAGGATACGGTAATTTGAAAACACCTACAAAGGTACAGAGAATCAGTAGGACAGAATATGAAGACTTAAAGAAACAAGGAGTCAACACGGAGAGACTAAGCAAATTGCAACAGAAAAATGGGAAAGACGTTGATATGATTATTGGTACTAATGTGATTTGGGACTTGTTGAATACAGCTGAATCAAAGACATTCGGAAACCAGAAGACTATAGTATGTACCAAAATTGGAGACTTCATTATCCCAACTAACATCGGTACTGACACTAGAGATTCAGACAATGAAGCCGAAGTCTTCTACAACGACACCGAAGAAGAACAAGACTACATGATTCAGCTATGTAAAGAAGAAGATGAAGAAGAAAGTGCCCAATCACTGTTGGAGAAACTGTGGACACTAAATGCCATAGGAATCAAAGAACAGGAACTAGAAGAAGACGAAATGTCAGAAATGGAAGAAGCATTGGCGGACTTCAAAAAGACAGCTCAATGGGAAGATGGAAAATTACTGGTCAAGCTACCGTTGAATGGAAATGAGGTTCACCTGGCTAACAATCTTCCAGTGGCCATGAAACGATTATCTAATCAAGTTGGAAAGTTGATGTACACCCCAGAAGTATTAGAAGAGTATGATGGCATTATTAACAAACAGCTATGTTCAGACATTATTGAAATATGCGATGACATTCCACCAGATACGAAATGTTATTACATTCCTCATCAGACAGTAGAAAAAAAGGATTCTAATACGACGAAAAGAAGAGTAGTGTTGAATGCGAGCAGTCACGGTGTCGGCAAGCTTTCATTGAATCAGTGCGTCAGGAAACTACCGTCACTGCTGAATCTGTTAACAGGCATTGTATTGAGAAGTAAAACTGGACAGTTTTATATGACCAGTGATATTGAAAAGGCTTTTCACCAGATCAGATTGCAGTTGGAAGACAGAGACTACACGAGATTTGTGTGGTTGAAAGATTGGAAGAAAGGAGCAGTATCAGGCAACTTTGTAACCTATAGGTTTAAAAGAATCCCTTTTGGAATGGCTTGTTCTCCTTTTCTTTTAGCAGCATCCATTTTAACTTATATGGAGCGCTACCCAACTGAGATCAACAAGCAGATAGAAGAAAACTTGTACGTTGACAATATTATGTTCTTAACAAACAAGGAGGAAGAACTACTAGGATTGTATGAGGAGTCCAAGAAGGCAGCGGCGCAATGGGGAATGAATCTAAGGGAATATCAAACAAATTCTGAAAAGACAAGAGATAAAATTCCCATTGAAGACAGAGCACCGGATAAACCTAATAAAATGTTAGGGATGTTGTTTGATGCAAAAAATGACACGTTGACTCTGAATATTCCATCACCACCAGAAGGGGTACCGAGCAAAAGAGAACTCCAATCATTCCTCGCCAGGATTTATGATCCACTCGGAGTGGTATCCCCTATCACAGTCAGATTGAAATTGTTCATTCAATCGTTATGGAAAACCAATACTGGGTGGAAGGAGAGAATTCCAAAAGGAACTGTGAAAATGTGGGAAGCAATCAAAAAAGAGTACCAAGATACACAGTATATCATAAAAAGACAGCTAACTGACAGATATGACTATAAGAAAGCAAAATTGATTATATTCAGTGATGCTTCAAAAAGTAGTTATGGAATAGCAGCTTATGTCAGATATGAGTATACAGACGGCAGCGTAAGTACAAATTTGCTAATGTCTAAATCTAGAGTGAAACCATTGAAAAATGGTGAGCGTCTAACAGTACCAAAGACAGAGTTGCTGGCACTTGCAATGGCAACTAATGTGGCAGTCTATTTACAGAAGGAATTGCAAAATTCCATTTGAAAATGTTTGTAAACAACCGAGTCAGAGCACTAAAAGCAAACTGCAAATTATTAGAAGATCAAAGAATCGAAATCAACTTCCATCATGTAGAAACAAAAGAGAAACCTTCGGACTACACGACAAGAGGACAGAGCACTTCAGACCTATTCAGAGATCCCGTTGTGTCTGTACTGTGGAGCGGCGGTCCAGAATTTCTGAAGCTACCGACAAAAGACTGGCCACAAAGATGGACTGAGTCTACTAAAATTCCAAAATGGCTGGAAAAAGCAATGGCGGAAGAGATTGCAGGGAAAGAAGGAAAATTAGTATATGAAGAAACAGATGGAGTAGAAGAGTATGTGGTACAGTTGACCACTGCACCAGCTGAGGATCTTAAAGAGTATATCTCTATTGTTCCGTATGAATCTACAAACTAGATTAACTAGGATAATGGGAACGGTCATGAAAGCTGTACAAAGATTTGCAGCCAAGACAGGAAAGAAATTCCAAGGCAGAACAATGACAACGTATTGTGACGCTAAACCAGGAATCGAAGGATATGAGAAGAGGAGGAAAACAGTTTTATACTACATGATTGCCGATCATTATAAAGAGACGGCAGCCAGATCAGAATACCGTGTTCCAGCAGATTTGAACCCGAAACAAGACCAATTTGGATTGATCAGAAAAGGAACCAGGTTGGAGAAGTCAGAACTGGCAGAAGACGCAAAGTATCCAATTATTCTGGTACGCGACCACAAGTTGACAGAGATGATCGTGCGGCAAACCCATGTGTATAACAGACACATTGGAACGGAACATTTGTTGGCAGAATGCAGAAGGCAATATTGGATTCCTCAAGGAAGACAGCTAGCCAGAAAGATTGTACATTCTTGTGTCACTTGCAGAAAACTGAGAGGTAGACCATTCAAATACCCCGACATCCCACCACTACCATCGACCAGAGTAAGAAGGTCAGGACCATTCCAAAACGTGGGACTCGATGGGTTCGGTCCACTAATGTATAAGGGCTTGACTGGAGAAAGGAAATGTTGGGTACTAATTTGCACATGTTTGATAACAAGGAACGTACATTTGGAACTTATCTCCGACAATGGAACTAGCGAATTTATATTAGCCATGAGACGATATTTTGCCAGAAGAGGGACCCCTAGAACAGTGGTGTTGGATAATGCCAAGAGTTTTGTTCTAGGAAGCCAAATGTTCAATAATGATATAAAAAGTGGGCAGAGGAAGGTGACGCTTTCACCAACTTTTTGGACCAACATCCAATAGAATGGAACTTCATCACGCCACTGAGCCCTTGGAAAGGAGGAGTATATGAAAGGATTATTGGCATTGTGAAGAAACTACTGTATGCTTCAGGAGATACTGTCCATTTTAATTACGTCCAACTATTTACCATCATCACAGAAATCGAAGGCATTGTCAATTCCAGACCTATCAGCCACAATCCAGAAGGTCCCAACGAGGGAGAAGTGATACGACCAGTTGATTTCATCAATCCAGAAGTGAAGCTGGGAATCTTACATGATCCGGGTAACCAGGAAATAGAAAAAAGATGGGAACAACAGAGAAGGAGACAAGGTTACATTTGTCTAATCTCAACAATCACATGAACCATCTATGGCTGCAATGGGAGACAATGTATCTAACCCAATTGAAAGAAGCAAAAGCCAAGAGAAAACATTACACGAACACCATACCGAAGGTTGGACAAGTAGTGCTAATAGAAGAAAGACTAAGATGTAGACACAAATGGCAGATGGCTAAAATCACTGAGATTCATCCGAATGCTCAAGGCCAAATCAGAACTGTCACTGTCAAATATGGAGGCATGGAAGTCTTGAGATCCGTGAACCAATTGATTCCATTGGAATTAGAGGAAGAATCTACCGCTTTGGAAAAGGCAGAGCACAAGGAAGAAAATACCACTGAACCAGAACCACTTGATGATCTTCAGAAGATTAAAAGTGGAACACAAGTTGAGGATCACATTCAGGACATAATAAGAAAGAGACTAGACAGACTAGCTCCAGTCCTCCAGAGAAAAAAACGAAAACAAGGAATCAAGGGAACCATCGAGAACACGCAGTCAGACCACGGGTACCCCGAATACCAGAGAGGGAAAAGAGTCGGGCCCTGGCAGTGTCGCGAATTCAAGTGATTGATTATCACTTATTCACGACTTTTCTCTTATTAATACATCCCATATCATTATCCTTGTTATCTATGTTTGAGTCAGCCGCATTCGTCTTCTTGCCTACACCACCCAAGACGCCATATTTGAATCACCGCCAATTTGAGGACTACTGTAACCTGCACATCTAACTCTCGACACGACCAAGGACGCGCCCGGTTTGGGGATCAATTTCTTCTCCTAAATTATTCTTCTTGTTGTTTCCTTTTTCGTACTGTGTTGATGCTTATTTTTTCCCTCACAAATTATTGTATTTGCTTGGCAAAGAAGGTTCTAATAAGGAACCAGAGTGTAGGCATAAGAAAAGGTGAATAAATTCGGTATGTCTCGTACAACGGTGTTTTTGTCGTCTTTATCTTTATATTCTATTTTGGGTCGTTTTAGAGGTTCCCTTCAAAACATGTGCCACATGTGTTAACCGATTAACCATAAATATGATGTAACATGGACTGAGATACGGGATCATGAGTGTAATAAAAATCATAATTGCAATTAGCCCAGAATAAATAAAAACTTTAGTATTGCTGAACCACATATTGGTTGGTTTTATAACAACCGAAACTCGATTAACACTCATTAATACACTGATAAACGGAGCAATCAAATATGAGGAAGTACCAAATAGTGTGAATTCACGTCCCAGCAATTTGGTGAACGCTGGAAAAAAAACCAAAAGGTGGGAATTTAAAGAGGGCCCTTCTAATACCAGTTTCACAGTATTAGATGGGCCCTCTTAGTCCTTGAACAAACCCTGATAGCCTTCAGATGTAGTAATCAGAAACATCAAAAACTGAAATGCAAGAATGAAGTTGAATATCATTCCGCGAAGGCTCAAAACCACTATATAAGCTAACGGAATAGATGAATCACGACGGCTATCAATAGATGATATCAGGAGAAGAGAGTCAAACAATCCGAAACTGTTGATTAAAACTCAACACTTGATATGTTGGAAGTAGAATTGTAATATTAGAAACACTCATTTCATAAAAATACTGAAAACACAGTGTGGCGAAATTCACTAAAATTGTGTTTCCTTTTCTTTCTAAACCATTAGGCCTTAGCATAAAATGTTCATCGATATGGAAAAATTTTGGGTACGGGTGAAGACTTCTTGGTCTGTGTAGTTTAGTTGAATGTTAAAAAAAGAAGAAAAAGGAAGTTTTTCAGTAATTAACAAATCAGAAAAAAAAACGAAAATTATGAAAAGATTTTTTTTTGTGAAGCATTCAAGCAGAACAACGTTGAGATAAATTTTGATTCATATCTTATTAGAAATTCAAGTTTCAAAAAGAAGGACATTTGAGAACACAAATTAGAGACAGAATAAGAATCATCAAAAAGTTATTTAATTAGTGACTGTCCGATGGTTTGATACACTAACACCACCCAAATCCTGCTTTGTTTCTCTTTTCAAAAACCGACAGACCATCACTCTTGTTTTCTTTGTCTCCACGAAATAAATGAAAAAGTTCATCACAGGAATCGTCTCCATTCTCACATAAAAGTACACATCTTTTCCAATAGGAGGTAAGCTAGCGTACAAATTCTGAAAATATCAAAATCTATTACTGTTAAACCTTTTGAATCGATTTTCGATTGCAAACCGGAAAAACTTTAGTAACAAATGCTCCAAACTCATAGAAAGATAGATAAAATGCAATTGTGATCGTTTGTCGGATCATTAAAACATCCCGTTTGGCTCTCAGTTTTGAAAAATATGTTGGTTGAGATGCATTTCGAATTGGGTCTTCTTTTATTTCTTTTTGCAACACCCTCGTTTTGAAATTCTTCCAAAGTTTTATATATGAGTTGTTTCGGACAAATCGAAGGTGCAATGTGATACTCAAGTTCACAATCATACACGAGAAGGGGAGAATTATAGTGTAGGTGTTTTGAAAATCAGTGATCTGGAAGTGAATGACTCAGGTGTTCAGTGGAGCGTGGTTACACGGGTAAAACTTTTCGCATGGAAACCCCAGTTCTGGGCAAAATGCACTTTTTTGGATGAAAAAAATTACCGGATGCCGATCTGGAGCGCAACCTGCCACATGTGATAATCGATTCACCATAAAAATGATATAACACGGACTAAGGTATCGGATAATGAGAGAGATAAGAACTATAATTGCAATCAGTCCACAATAAAGAAAAACATTAGGATTGGTGAACCACATATTCATTGGTTTTATTACAACTGCCACTCGATTAACACTTATTAGTACACTGATAACCGGAGCAATCAGGTAAGAAAATGTACCGAATAGTGTGAACTCACGTCCCAGCGATTTTGAGAACGCTGAAAATATCTTCTAAGGAAATATATAAAACGCTACACGCGTCTGTTGTTCCCCCTGTTAAAGGTGGTGTGCGGTGAAAAATTTTATTGCTTTATTTTGTGTAGAAATCCATGTAGACTCCCGTAAAAATAAAGAAAAAATTCAAAAAAATCCTTCATTGAGAAAAACGGCATCGAAAAGTCAAAGTGGGAACCGATGGCCTAGCGGCCAGGTGTGAGTTTTCTAGGCCAACTGTAGCGCGCGAAACTGAAGCGCGCGAAATTAGAATTTTTATTGATTTTCAGTGTTTTCTCTGATTTTTTTAAAAAAGATTTTAAAATGTTTTTGTTAATTTCCTCCCAGGTGTATGAAAAAACCTGACAGAAATCTGAGCAAACACTGAAAGTCAATAAAAATTCAAATTTCGCGCGCTTTTACCGGCAGTTGGCCTAGAAAACTCACACCTGGCCGCTAGGCCACCAGTTCCCACTTTGACTTTTCGATGCGGTTTTTCTCAATGAAGGAATTTTTTTTGAATTTTTTCTTTATTTTTATGTGAATCTACATCTATTTCTGCACAAAATAAAGCAATAAAATTTTTCACCGCACACCACCTTTAATCTGTGGACATTTCAAAAGCTTGAAAAATAAAAATAGCTTTACGTGACCCTTTGAGAAAAATTGCGAAGCGGAGCGACGAAACAGTATATACTAGGTCAAATCGCGCCGGTGGCGCACCAGCTAGCTGGTCCAAAACATTGGAAATCGAAGAGAGCCCTTCTAATAAAAATTTCACAATATCTTGCCCTTTCTTATTCGTTGAACAAACCCTGATAGCCTTCAGATGTAGTAATCAGATACATCAAAAACTGAAATGCAAGAATGAAGTTGAATATCATTCCGCGAAGGCTCAAAACCACTATATAAGCTAACGGAATAGATGAATCACGACGGCTATCAATAGATGATATCAGGAGATTGATTCTCAACATTTGATATGTTGGTAGGGAAGTATCAGTAATAGAAACAGTAGAAGAATTCATTTAGAAGGAAGTTTTTTTTCAAATTCAAAATTCGAGAAATCAAAAATTCGTTCAATGATAAATTGCCGAAATTCACGATATCCCTTTTTTCTGAATCTTTAGAAATTAGCTGAAAATGAGCATCGAATCGGAAAATGATTTGTTTATGTAGTTTAGTTGAACAATTGAACTTTGTTCAGTTGCAAAAAAAACGAGAGTGAAAGTTTTTCAAAAACTATTAGGTTGGCGGGAAAGTCTTTGTCACTTTTTCAATAGTTTATTTCTCAAAGAAAAAATAACCGAATAATTAATTATATTGTCCATCATTATCAACAACATGTCTCCAACGTTCCCTCAATTTATGGATTCCATTGCGGTAGAATCCAGCCGGGCGTGAGGCAAAGTATTGTTTGAGTGCCGCTTCGACCGCTCCACGGGAATTGAAGCTTCTTCCTTCGAAGGCACGTGTCATATCGCCAAATAACCAATAGTCGGAAGGAGCAAGATCAGGAGAATACGGGGGGTGAGGGAGAACATTCCATCCATATCCCATCAGCTCCTGCTTCACTTGTTTCGAAACATGTGGGCGAGCGTTATCATGTTGACAGTACACTTTCTTGTCTTTCAGGGCCGAACGGTCGACTGCTTTCTTGAGGTTTCGTAGTTGAGTAGTGTAGAGGTCTCCAGTTATTGTTTTGCCCTCGGGCAGAAGTTCCCAGTAGATGGGGCCGTCCACTCCCCACCACACAGAGAGCATAACTTTTTTCGGATGAAGGTCGGGTTTGGGGACATCCTGTGGGCTCTCTCCTTCTCCAACCCGCTGGGATTTCCTGTGGTGATTATCGTAGAAGACCCACTTCTCATCTCCGGTTATTAGCCGGTCCAGCCATCGATCGCCCGCGTGGAGAGTGAGAAGAGTAATCGAATCGTCGACTCGGCGGTCAAGGTTGGCTTGAGTCAGGTGATGAGGTATGAATCGACCAAAAAGTTTTCTCATTCCAAGAGACTTCAAACCTTCAAGGACTGTGCTATGGTGAACTCCGAATGTGACAGATAGTTCACGGCTAGATTGAAATGGATCCGATTGCAATGCGTGCTTCAGCTTGTCCAAATCCAACTCACGGGGTCTCCCAGAGCGATCCTTTTCATCGAGCGAGAAGTCATCTTTTTCGAAACGATGGAACCAATTGCGAATAGTATTGAGTGAGGGGCATGTGTGTTGTACACATTCTTCAAGAAAGTTTCCGAATCCTTCATCGTGGTGTGAGATAGGAAGAGGTAAATCAAAACATGTCTGATGTGAATAGCAGTGGGAACAAACATATCGTTTCAATTACAGATGAGGAGCAGGGAAGGAGATGGGGACTTGTTTATATGGAAGGTTCTTATCACCTTGTTATTCACTAGAGTCGATATCATACACAGCCTCCATATACGAGAACAGTGATTAAACAAACAGAGTGACAAAGACTTTCCCGCCAACCTAATAACTAATCAAATTTAAAAAAAAGAAAATTTTGGTGAGATTTTTTATTGTGGTGAGAATGTCAAAACTTATTCTTGATAAAGTCCATAAATCAAAGGTTGTGACAGTTGACTCATTCCAATTTCTAATTCCTAATCCCCATGATTCTTAGTAAGACCATTCTCGATTTCTACCTGGTAGTTTACCGGTGAAATACCGGTAAATCTTCGGTAGTTTCAAAAATTACCGGTAAATTACCGGTTATTTTCGGTAAATTTTTACCGGTAGTTTACCGGTAAAATCACCGAAAAAGCCGCTACCGGTAAGTGAAAATCGGTAGTCACACACTGCAAGTCTCCAAATGAAAAACTGGTCGACTTCATCAACGACATTGCTGAGAATGTATTCTTAGTGCAATTTGTAATTTATACTATTGGATTTGTTATGAACGTCTATATAAAACGCTACACGCGCTAAAATTTTATTATTTTCTTGAAGTGCGCGGGTGGCGATCTTATAATCAAACAATGTGCCTACAGCTGATGGGCGGGCTTGCACAGGTGATTCGCGCAAGATCTATTATAGGTGAAAAATGGTTCGCGCGTAGGTGATTTGGGTACATGGCACGAAGCCTATTATAGACCAATAATAGGCCTATCGCGAACAAACTTCTGCAATAGACCTATTGTAGACCAATTGTGGACGATTTTACCCATAATAGGCTTGTTCCGAAACCTACAATAGACCTATCGCGAAAACTCTATCCATAATAGACCTATCGCGAATATTTAAAAAAAAAAAATTCGATGCGAAATAAGGAATTAGAATAATAACGATGTTTATTCAATAACAAAAAAGCAACAAATAAAGAACAATTTAACAATGTGATGGGAAAAGAAAACTTCCTTAAACTCCAAAATACATTAGCAGCCTTCAATATCAATGCTGTTGTCGACATCGTCTCCAGATCCGTCGTAATTGGGAGTTCCGCTGAAGTTGGGAGCGTCTTCGCCACTAACATTGCTCGAATTGAAGTTCAGGGGATGTCTGAAAAGAAAAATTGGAAGAAACAATAGAACGAAAATATTGAAATTAGTTTTTCGTCAGTCGATGACCCATAATTCGTTTTTCCTTAATGTGTTTATTGGGCTTTTTGTTTTGTTGTTAGAAACATATCGTTTTTTGTCTCTTTTTCTCTTTGATTAATTCGGAACTATTTCTAATAAGCGACGGACTTATTTTCAATTTTCCTATGTTTTGGCAACTGCGAGGTACGGTCGACGACTCGACTGCCCAGTCTGCCGACACCGTGACGCGCATTTGCGTACATCTCATTTTATTTGTTAACAAAAGTCAGCCAATGCACTCTGTTACGACTATTCGCGACTCACTATGATCAGAATTGTTGGATTGAACGGTTAGTTAATTTTATTAGAATTCAAGGTACTCGCCGCACGAATTTTCAGGAAACACCGTCATTATATAACAGTATTATAATCGAGAAGAAAACGGAGCCATGTTTAAAACGGATGAAATCGAATTCTGAGCACAAATTTCTGCTAATTACGGATGGAATTTAAGATTTTGGGACGAGAAATCGATTTATATCACCGAAGAAACGCGGTTAGTGTGCAATTGCCGAATATATAGGTACTCTCCGCTTAAATTTTCAGAAGCCCGCACTATTGGTCGCGGAGTCTTCTAGGATGAAACCAACGTGAGGTTATTTTGGATGAAAATGACGATGCCTCGATTTTTCTTTACGATTTCTCCATTTTTTGAAGTGCGGCTGAGCGGAAGAGTGGTAATTTTTTGAATTTAAAAACTCACGATTTCAATTCTGATGCCTCTCCCTGCATTAGTTCATCATGTAGCCAAATCGCTGCTTGCTCACTTTGGGATTTTCCAAATTTCGCGTTGTATCGGGCTCTCACTCTATTTCTGAATATAGGTAGATGAGGTATTTTAGCTGAAAACTTGGACAAACTCACAATTTATTCTCGAGTGAAGATTGAAGATAGGAAATTACTTGGGTTTTTCGGTCTTGGCTGTTCGTTTGACCAAAACCCGCGATGATGTAGTCTGAGTATGCGCTGACTTGATAACGTATTGATTAGTAATCTTACCGCTCATTTTCGTGAAAATCGAAGGGTTGACAGGAACATATTTGTTTGCCTTTTGAGAAGACCCATAGCAAACCAAAAGCTCGTCGGCATTATCAACCTGCAAGAGCAATCTGATCGTTAGTATTACTGCAAGGTTCTAATTTCAAACTGACTGCATCCCAGACGTGAAGAGACAAGCGTTTCGTATGAGCGTCAAATTGAGTTGAAGTCCAATTGCATACTACATTTTCTGTGAGAATATCCGACAATCGAAATGTTTTTCGACTCGGTAATTCTAATTCTTCGTCGAAGCATTTTGCTGAATCCAAGGAGAAGCCTCTTTTTTCGATATTTCCAACTAAATTGGATACTGTTTTCGTTTCTCGGGGGGCACGACGATTTCTGGCATTGCTCTTAAAAGACAAGATTTTGTTTTGAACTGCTGTTTCGAATTACCAGTGCCGTCTGAGTGGCCATTCCCAGCGAGAACTTTTCAAGAAGATCTTTCCCTTCTTCTCGACATTTGCTTGCCAAATTGAGCCACTCCATGTAGTCGATGTCTCTGTCATTCTTGATCATTTTTTCGATGTTGCGCTAAAAATAGAGGTTATGTTATTTTAATAGTTCTACAGAATTGCTCACTTCACATGTTTCCCGGTCAAATGCACTTCCGGTCTCCATATCATACAACTGTGTAGCTGCGAATCCTATTGGGGACCATTTCTGGTTCACTGTGGCTGTATACAAGTTTCCACGAGTGTAGTCAGTTCCACGAGCATGTTTCCTCTGATTCTCATCA